GACTGATAAGTTATGAATATGATTAACATTACATTGACATAAATCTCCGTACTCCAATCGAGATAGGGTACGTAGGAAATAACTACATATTTATCCGCAACATACGAATGTAAGTAGTTAAGTGCTCAGATCTATTAAGTATTTTTTATCAATAGTAATACTGTAAAAAGGAACATGTCTGTTTGTTACCTTTTAAGAACTAAACGGCTGAATGTACCGTAATAAAAGAACACAAAGACGGACGTAAACTTCTCTAGTCGTCTAGAGTCTAGAATAATAATTATTATCTACAATGTTATCAATATTACTATAAAATATAATTACACTTTTATTTCTTTCATACGAAGCTAAGAAGATAAGGCACAATTATTAATGACCTTTTCCATCAGTGAAAATGTATTTGGGTGCGGTAACTTGCTTTTTGCATAACCAACATATATGTTTTACTAATTAAAATACAATAATAAATAGCTGATATAATAAATATTCTAATCATGTTATGTTATACTATAATCAATTTTAGAAGATCACCTTTGTGGGTACTAATACAAGTCAATCTACACAAAGATATCGTAACTGCTTTAGACGTCGAATGTCTATAATTTCATTACAGCTAACTTACTAAATCAATAGCAAATTACGTACGCCTAGATCTGATATCTAAATACCCACAGATTGCTAGGTTGAATCTAAACACATCGAATATTAAATACTTGATTAAGTCGACAGATTGTTACGAATAATTACCACATTAAGACGACTTTTACAGAGATGGTTCTGAAAATTTATGATAAATTTACCGCTATAGTTAGGCTGAGTCTAAACAGACTGGCTGCATTCTCATCCAATCATATTCTAGTGAATACCAAGACAGGACAGGAGCATAATTCATAAAAAAATACTATATCTATGGGAATATGACTCGACATGTAATTAATTCTAAAATTGAAATAGTCAACAAAAAGAAACTAATTTACGTCGGTCATGTTATGAGATTAAACGTCCCTCCACACACGTTCTGTTGTACATGACTTTTATGTTGTTTTACGGTCACGTACCTACCTATGTTGTTTTCTAATTAACTTTAACTTGCCCGCCCGCATTGCGTTCTGTGCCACCTATCGTACGTAATTTGATGTTGTTCCCCAACTCTGGTTAACGCAAACCTTGTTTGTACAGAGTATATTATTGTCGAATTACATATTTATTGTAACACTGATATGTGGCATATACTTACATTCTCCTCTTTCTTTGCACTAGATTATTCATTTAAAATAGTATGTAATGTCCATTAAACGTCGAGAACTTGTGGAGCGAAGCGTTTTACTCATATGGATGTACCGTAACCAAAGGAAATATTTTTTACGTGCGTCATCCACACAGTATACTTAAGAGTTTTATATGTAGATAATGTGGGAGCAGATAATATCTTTTGGATGAGGGCATCCGAAACACCTTTGAAAACAGCTATTTAAATTCTAAGATTTGTTACTATTATATTTTATATATCTATTTGGACAATAGAACAATTGTAATTATAAGTCAAATACTTGATATTATCATTATTATTATCTCTTTCTACGCATATATAAGTTATTAAAGATAAAAAAGGATATTCGTCGGCTACTCAAACACTAAGACATGAAAATAAATGTTTTGTTCCTAAACTATTTTTAGATGTCCACAATTAATCGAATAAGCAAACAGTATATTATATTAATAACAAACTACTTTTTGCTTTTAATTTACGTCGAAGTACTACTGAACTACTTGTAATTAAATTTTCATTCTGGCCAACAACAAACCTCAAAATATAAATTATTAACTTGTTATAACTACTGTGGAGCTTCAGAAATTTAATCTAAACGAGGTATAAATTTCCGACAATAGTATTTCTATCCTACTACTAGTTTATGGTGTATCGCATTCCGTTAAATGTGTATAATTTATCTGTACCCACTCATTTTCCTCTCCATCTGCGGTGTTTCGTTGTTAATTAATTGAAGAAGCTCGTTCGCGTTGCTCAATTCTGCTAAAGGGCCCATTTAAAATCTTGACAACCGTTGTCTCAATCTACAAAACTAAGCTAAATTTATTTGAAACATGGTAGCTAACACTTAGATTTATTTTGTTGGTAGTTAATTAAGTTATATCGATACATTTTATAATAAAACTTAATGTCCTAGAAAACATTTAAAAATGTACAAAAACCTTTCACGTCATTGTATTTAATTATTAAAGTTATAAATATTTTATTTGGTTATACTGACATTGGAACTGTAGTTAGTCTATGGTGTGAAAACTTAGTCTGGCCACTGAGACAAGACATCTTAGTACATATAATAAAAACAAAATATCTTTATTAATGTAGGTCTATTACAGACTTTTATGATATTTCATATTTACCATCAGTTCGGAGTGCTTTCGAGCCAAAAAGAACTGATAAGAAAGTCAGGTCTTTTACATTTCAAATGAGCAGAAATTCAATCCAGGAGAATATAATCACCAGTATATGCTATTGCATTTTTGTCAAAAGGAAATAATTTAACCCGAACAAATTGTCGTGGATCTCAAACAGAAGGGCAAAAAAAACTCACACTAACTCGAAATTGCGAGTACAAGGGTAGGTACTTGCTATGTTATATTCCTCGGGATAGATTACTATAGATTACAAAAACTGATAGAAACGCTATCTCCGGTTTTGTGATCTATCAGTTGACCTTTCCGTGAAATATATCCGGCATATAATGAATGTCGTGCCGTTACCTATATTCTATAATTTTACTATAGCATTTTCTACATATAAATTTTGTAAATTAGCAATTAAAATACTTTGCAGATTCTATTCTATCTTATATCTATAAAAAACTTATAATGAACTAATCCGTTAAATAGTACCGACTTAATGAAAATATAATAGTAAAAATTCCACTATACTAATATATAAAAAAGATATAGTTGTATTTTGTTTTGTTTAATTAAATTATGTTAAGTCATTATAGTTTTATTTAATAAATACACAGCTAATAATTTAATACATTTGGACATACTACTACACGTACCTCGGAAGAACAAACAGTAGAATATTTTTTTAATTGTAAAGCATAATTATGTCAGTAATCACGAAATCATTATTAATATTGTTAATCGGGGTCTTAATACGAATAATTTTAGAGTAAATAAAGGTATTTTTCTCTGGATATTCTCCGTCCATAGGCTACGGTAACCGTTTACCATCAGATGGACCGTATGCTTGTTGGCCATAATTGTAGTATAAAGAAAAAACCATATCGATAATGTTCACAGTATATGCTAAATGTGAAAATTTAAAAATAATTCTATATTAAATCAAACTAAATCATAATTAAAACAAAATGAAGCCTCATACATATCCAATAAGATATTCATTAACACTGGAACGTCAAAACTTCAAATACATATGTACTTCTCTTTCGTTTCCTCTACGTTCTTTAAGCCTTTGTTCTATAAATATATAAATTAAGAAAGATTGTCATTTTTTGTGTAATACTTTGTTACAGAATATTTCATTTAAATTATTCTTTGTAAACGTTGAAGAACTCTTAGCAAGACGAAATGAAATAACAACTTTTCCTAATATTTCAAAACGTAGTATCTAATAAATTACTTAAAAAAGATGTAGAAATATATGAAGTTATAAGTATAATAGTGTCCCCGAATGAATGTGTTTATTTATTTTGAGGTTTTACTTTTATTATAGATAGTGTTTACTGTATTAAATATTATGATTTTTTGTAAAAAGAAGCTGATAAGATATATTACAAATATCAGATTCTTTTTATTCATTTTTTATTCAACTTCATACTTTATTCAACTATAGGGACTTCGATAAACTTCTACATAAGTCCATTATACTTAAAGGACGTTTAACTATTCAGATAATTACACAGCTATATAATTTACCCAGAAGTTTATTGCCTATTCACTACTTCCAAAACTAACTTGGTAATAATATCAAATTGAGTTAACTAACCCCGAGAAATAACCTAGAACCAGACATCAACGAGGTCTCGAATCGGTGAGTATTAAACTTCAAATTACAGCCTGCAAGATCTATAGAATTCGACATATTCATTCATATTTATACGATATTCATGAGCACATTCATCATTTGAATAAGTACAATACATGTCTATATTTATATATTACAAGAGATAATACTAGCTAATTCACGCAATTTTGCTTTTCTCAAGATAAAAGATTGACTGTTTACAATTATAACACAACGAAGGATCTAACGTGTATTTATGATTAGATTTAACTACACCTAAAAGTATGTTTGCTTATTCATCTTTGCGGCCCATAAAGCTACCACCATCTCCTTATTTCTATACATATATTTTCTGTAGTATAATTAGTGAATAAAGAACTTGCCTGTCTATCTAAAATTTCATTGAAATCCAAGCAGACGTTTAGTCGTGAAAAGGCAACAGTCAATTTATTTAGATAACCTAATTGTACAACTAAGAACCTAAAATAAAAAAGCTTAAAAAATATGATATAAGTAAGAATTATACTATATATTTGGTTTACAAGTATTTTTACTTTTATTGCTTGCTTAAGTATATTTTCATTAAACTTAAGATCAATGAATGCAGATATTTATAAGTAATCAGATAAAAAATTTCTACAAGTTCATCACTGTGAGCACTTCTATCTTCAGGTTGCCTCTGTAACCTACTATTGTGTCGAATAATAAGATAGGGCAGTGCAATTAGAAAGTTATTGAGAAATGAATTAACGGTTAGTCCATGAACGTACGGCTTGTTTGTTCCAGCAGTTATATAATAGAAAGTTGATGCACGACATGAGGGATTTACGCTATATGTTTGCAAATTTTTGAGTTTTCACAGATATAAATTATTTTTACCTTCAGTTGTTCAGTTTGTCGTACTCATTGCAATCATATGCGAGACCGGGATCAGCAGCTATTTAATAAGTATGACATTTCCTTGTTACAGTTGTATACGAGGCGATTATCTGAAAGTATACTCCGAAGGTGGAACACATGGACCTGGACCACCTGGCGTGAATGAGTATTCCGCCTGGTCTAGGGCACTCTGTGGTAGCAGACTCGAAGCACCGCCAGCTTTGTACTCGCATGGACCATTACTAGTTTTGGAGCTGCATACTGGACCAAGTGCATCCAATGCCACTGGATTTGTAGGGACCTATAGATTTATAGACAGGCGTAAGTACATTTATTTATTATAAATACCTATGTTAAGTAGTTTTTTTAAAGAATCGATAATTGTCACCATTACTCGATTATTCAATCTGATTATGATGATTCACTTACTATTGATAGGAATTACTAGCAAGGTGGTACGATACTAATGTTGTTACTATTAAAGTCGTAATGTATGTCAATGTTTTTTTACTAAAATAATATCTGTAATTAAAAACAGTCAATTAACAATGTTGCAAAGTCTAATATCAAAATGTCCCTTCATTAACGAAGGGATATCGACCCTTAAGGGTAACTTCGTCATGTTTACTTGTAATACATTTTATTTAGTTAAAAGACCAAGAGGCAATTAAAATGACAAGAATAAATATGTCCTGTAACAAAATAATTATTTAGACGCTGATTTTATTACTTGTCTTAGCATTAATTTTTACATTGTAGTAAAAATATATGCTAAGGTTTTTTCAAGAGCATGTCTACAACCGAAATAACTAATATAATATGCTTGGATATTTGTTATTCAATCATGAAAAAACGACGGGACAATTTCGAATGACATTTGTTACATGGAATGATCATTCAATTGGCTCAATGTATTGACATAGGATAGACTTGAATACAGATTTTTACTAAAGTAGACGCGGGTAGACCCGATATATACACCTAGTAATTTATACCTATTAATGTAAAATATGCTTGTTTTTAAATTTGTGTAATTTTTTTTTTGCAGGTAATTTCGAAACAGATGGCGTAAAAGTACCAGATACATGGTGCGATTTCGTCTTCAATTCACAACCAAACAGACCAGCTCATGGTCGATTATATAGTCCTCGATACCCTTCGAGCTATCCTAGCAATATTAGATGTACTTATCATTTTAGTGCAAGGTAATACTTTTTTTATGTATCTGGAATAACTATGGACAACTTATAAAGCTATGTGTGTGTTTATATAGTGGCTCTGATAGTATATAGTAACCGTAGTATTCACATCATAACATGTGGTAACATGTGTATCAATATGATGTGATATCTGAGGACTGAGGTATCATGCCACCGTATCCTGTAAGTTCACTGCCATATCTCAGCCAATCGATTCACTGCTTAAAATACAAGCTAGTTAGTAGCAGAAATAGATGCAGGTGCTTCATCATCACCCTTTATCCCTTATTTAGGTAAATATTTTACTTAGGTAAAATAATTTGCAATACAGGATTTCATTTTTAACAAAACATATAACGGTTTATATATAACTAAGGAACCTTTATTCGAAATAAAATAAATACATAAAAATTTAATATTGTCATTTAATGTAAATATTGAAAAAAACTTCATAAATTTCTTATAATTTTTTTGGATACGATTTTATTAAGAGCCTATTATGAAACAATATATGACATTTGATAAATTAAAAAGTCACGTCATTAGTACTATATTTTGATGTAAAAATAATAAAAGCCCTCAGGAAATATACAGAAACATGGCAAATGTTAGATATTTAATGAAACGATATTTTTAAAATTGTGGACACAACAGATTTTGGTATTTTTATGACATTGAATGAACCATACTCCCGTGTAACGGTTTGAGTGCAAATTGCATATGGAATTTTTATTATTACTGTTATTACAAAGTATAAAATTTTAAACTCAAAATTCTGTTATCTTGCAAAACATTTGATTTTAACTTTCGTACTGAAAAGTGACGACGTGCTATAGAATAGAATAGAATAGAAAATCATTTATTCAAATAAACTTACATTGAAGCACTATTGAATAGTCATTACATTTTTTTAATCTACCGCTCATTCGGAAAGCTGTCTCTGTATATTTGTCGATTTGCAAAATATGGTTAAGAAAATTCGACATGATTATTTAACTTTTTAAATTGTCCTTTAGGTTTAATTCTATTTAAACCAATGTTTAATTATGTCTTTCTATAGTGAGCTAAAACTTTTAATTTATATTATAATTTTACTTTTTCTGACATGATTTGCATATAAAATTCAATACTTCAGTGATACTATAGTAATATCATATATAGTAAATAATTAATTCGCTGTAAGACTACACTTTAAATAAATATTAAATATTTCTTTTCACGAAGTTAGTTTTTAAATATAAACAGATAAGTCAGTCGTTATGATCTTTCAGTATCAGCTCTCTCAACTATGTATCCATCATCTTGTTTTAAAAACTTTCCAACCATAACTGGTGAGAAAGATTTCAAAATATTTAAAGCGAATATCTTTGGAGAAGAAATTGAATTTGGACGTTGAAAATAATCAGCAAAGAGAGCGAAAGATGAAGTTTTTCTATAAATATGCAAAATGGGTATTTCAAAACGAGTGGAAACTAAATTGGTTTCTTAGTAAATATTGTTCGTATTGATATGATATAACTTTTATTATTGCAGACAACGTGAACGAATCAAATTAGTATTCGAAGAGTCATTCCTTCAGAAAGGAGATGAAAGGTAATATAATATAGACACATATTTGCTGATATCATATTGCCTTTTCAATATTCATATGAACTCTGTTTCCAGTTGTCTCAATCGAGCGGATATAATAAAAGTTTTTGATGGAAGATTATCGACGGCACCTGTACTTGCAATGATTTGTAATGAAATTGTAGGTAAGAAAACAATGTAATTTGATTTCATATATGTTGACTAGCTGTCCTCGCGACTTCGTCCGCGTGGAATTTAACAAAAAGTTAATTAGAGATTTTTTCTAAAATAAAAGTAGCCTAAGTTACTCCTTATTACATCACTATCTGCCAAAAGAAGTCACGTCAAAATCGGTCTAGACATTTCATAGATTTGCCGGAACAAACAGACAGACAGACAGACGTAAAAAATTGTAAAAAATGTTATTTTGATGTGTGTATCGTTTTTATATTCATATGCATGTAATAAAAAACGGTTATTTCAATATTACAAACAGACACTCCAAATTTATTTATTTACATAACTTAATTGTACAACTATATTACTAATACTAATACTATACTAATTATATTACTATATTTTTTAAGAAAATAGGTCTAAGAACCTAAAATTAAAAACCTAAAAATATAATATAATAACTAAAATATATTATTAAAAGGAATAAGTAATATGTAGAAATAAATAATATGTCAAACGTTATTTCATTTATATATATAGATGTATAGATAACAAATGATATGGTAACCGAGTTAAAAACCACTTGATAGAATATGGTAATTACTATAATAATATAATCAATATTTGAAAAAAATTTAGAGTTTTTAAAATTAGCTATATTTATGATTTTTTCATATTTTCATTCATTTTTCATATAACTGGATTTTAATGTGAATTGGCAATCGATGAATTGTACCGTGTATCTCGATATCATGTACCTTCCATAGTTTACTATTCCTTTGAACTAAGATGTCATAACACAGTACACTATATTTTCAGTGCCATATGTTTCATTTTCTATATATTTTCACAGGTTATGAAATTTTATCGACCGGCCCGGATCTCTTAGTCCAATTTACGGCAAATTCAAACATACCAGGACAAGGTTTCAAAGCAAGTTACCAGTTCCATATGGATGATAACTCTAGCGCAGGTTTAGTAAGCATACTGTAGTAATGTTGTGTTTTAGATGTCTTGGTACTCAGCCAGGAATATCCTATTCTAGTGACTCGTCAGCTACTGGAATAAGGGTATACCGGTATATAATCCGGGCTCCCAAGCAATACCAGTTTTTGCCAGTATCGCATGTCACTGTAGTGTTCCATAATTTCTCAATAACCCTTCCACATACCAGCTTCTTTTATTAATTTCCAAGTTTCTTTTCACCACGAACTTTCATATTTACCTTTTCCTGACTAAAGCATTTTCAAGAATTTACGTTACAGTCGGTAATGAAATCATAAACAGGAACCCTATATGTTTCATCTACTATATACTCATATACCAATATGAATGAAAACATATTAACCCTACCCCAATTGACTAAGTAAAGGTTAAGGGCAGGAAAATAATTATGATGATGATTTCAATGTTCGAGATCTATTATATAAATTAATTTATCAAATTTTGATGTCCGAGAAAATGTTTACTCAAGAAATTCAAGTATTGTAAAAGGAATGGAAGCTATTTAACGGTATGAATGACATTCAAATTATAAGAGCTGACAAGGAGATATGAATGAATTCGTTTTATTAGTCCTTTTATGTGCTGTGAATTCCTATTAATATCTGTTTAATAATATATTTTTTTTCTGGACAGATTCAGATATTAAAAAGTCGAGTACGACAGAATCGATATCCGGTTTAGGACCGGCAGTCAGTGCTGCAAGTAAGTTATATTTTTTATTTATTACCCCCCGTTCGGGAATTAAAAATGGATACAGCAGAAACATTAAACATTACATCTGCTAAAAATGGAATTGGTTTTTAACTGACTTCAAAAAAGTTTTCAATTCGATTGTTTAATACTTATTTTTGCATTACGTTCAATACATTTCGTAAATACTTTAATTTCTCACAATTAGTCTAATTTAAATTTTTTTCTATTTCTGATATTGGGTTTTGAATATACACAGCAGAATTCTTTAATAAATAAATAAATATGGATTATTCACTATTGTACTTATTGCTACTATGTCCATTTCTATTATAATTAAATCAAAAATGTCAATTTTATAATTGATCATCACGAACGCTGTCTATTAAATATATTAAGTTAATATACTACATATATAATTAAGTAATTAGGTCCATACAAAAATAATATTTTAGAAGAAATACAGTTTCGTAAAAGAATATTAATCCTATTAGAATCTTAATCTTATCCTATTAAAAGTCATTGGATGTAGCGATTTACATACAAAATTGCCTTTTTTACATTTGATTTATCAACTAAAATTTAGGTTGCTGTACTAATGATAGCAATTAATTTTAATGTATATATGTAAATTTAACTTTAAATTAACATATATACATTTACAAACTTTAAACACTAATACAAAGACGGTTAAAATATCAGCAATATTTTAATTGCCTATTATGTTATATCATATAATTAATATCACGCCTTTTCAGCATCATCATGTCATCAAGTGTTCAACAGTGACAAGAGTAAGAGTGGCAAATTAACCTCTCCAATGTATCCCTCCCCGTATCTCCAGAAAACGCAATGTCACTATGACTTTCTAGCCCGAGGCAGGGAGCGCGTGAGACTAGTGTTCGAAGATTTCAGCTTACAGAGAATGACTGAGAATATTATCGAGTAAGTAACTTGAATGGTTCCCTAGATATTTAGAGCGTGAATCTGTTTATCAGTATATCAATGGGCATTGCTGTATATCTTTACTATTTTATATAATACTGATTGTTTCTGTGATCGCTCGTAAGTTAAAGTGGCAGTGGGCTGGTCATATCTGTCGCAAAACTGATTCTTGCTGGAGTAGACGTGTTCTAGAGTGGATACCGCAATTGGCAAACGTAGTGTAGTACACCCCGCAGGTAGGTGGAGTGACAACATACGTAGGGATAAGTAATGACTGGAAGAAAAGGGCTGAAGATAATGCGCAGTGGCATGCCTTGGGAAAGACCTATGTCCAACAAGGGACTGCTGTAGGCTGATAATGATGTTTGACCGCTCTACTCGCAGAAATTATCAACATTTTTTTTATATAACTTATAGCCCAGTACCTGAGGAAGACAAGAACTTAAATTTAAGTCGTTAATGATTCGCAATTATAGTTTCAAAACACAACTCGTATGTCATAGACTTGTTATTAATTATACTAACCCAATATTTGTGAACTAAAAGTTGATAACATTTTATAATTAGATGAATAGTCATCTTCACGAAGAGCCAACTTGCCGAAACTTTGCTTAAAGAAGCCCATGCGGGACCTATGCTTTTCAGTCGCATATCAGCTTGCTTTCTGTGCTGTGTTTCAATTAATGGATAGGATAAGACAGTGAAATTGCAGGATAAGAGGCATGATATCTTAATCCTCTAGAATAGTAACTCTAGAATGGTATTCGGAGTCACCTAATGACGTCATGTCCGTAGTGCTGTACATATATGTACAATAAAGGCAACAGTTACCACTTACCATTAAGTGGGTAGTCAGCTTGTTAATAGACCATACATTAATAAAGGTATTTTGATTTTGAAAGTATATATAATATACATTAACATGAAAAAGTTAAGCTTTTATCTTTTAAATTTTCCTTAATTTACCTAATGTCCATCTTTGTTTTACAGGGTATTTTGTCTCTGTCACGTCGTTTAATTTCGTTAGTATAAATAAAAATATAAGAAACTTTGGAACATTGTTCTATACTAAATAAACATTTTTGTAAATGTAAAAAACCTTGTAAACTACCTAATTAGGGTTCATATTTCCACCAATTTAGCGGTAGTCGCGATTTCAGTTCCTGAATTATTTAAATTAAATGTTCATTTTTCCCTAAACATCTTAAAAAGAGTTGTATATATTTTTTTTTAGAGAAAGGTAGGCGTATAAGTTAGCAAAGTCTGCTTAGTTCGGAGTAGATGTCGCTATATGAATTATTATTACTCTTTATTTTTAATTTATTTTTTATAAATAAAAAAAAATCCGCACGATCAGTGCCGAAGCTAGTGTTAAATAGAACAAATCAATCAAATCGAATCAAATTATCTTTATTCATTTGAGTCTAATTTTAGATACTTTTAGAAAGTTAAATTCGTCGTTATTTTTGAAAATATTTGCTATAAATTATTAGTGATAATATTTTAAACGATTGGAACAAGCTAAGGATTCGCCTAATGATAAGAAGCGTTGTCGCCTGATAACAATTCCAATCACAAGGTACAGTGTAACGACCATGGTAGGCAGGTCATCAGTTGCCGCTCTAGAGAACTCAGGAGTTATGTCGCCGTAATTACGTTAGTTAGTATTACAACTGCAGTATTAGCACTGAATGGTTGAAATTGCAACAGGTCTCAGGACCGAATGAATTCTATTATATATTATCAATATGAAAACTTAAATAAAGTAATTAAGTCCTAATAATAATAAGACCTATTTGCTTATGTGGATCAGAATGTTGCGTAAAGGGAAGTAAAAGAAGATGGATGTGTGTGGTGACCAGGAATAACAGAGTAGGAAATAAGTATTGCGAGGTAGTTTGAAAGTTCGTTCACTACTACAGAAGTTAAGAAGTAACAGATTGTATTTCATGTGGTGGAGTGAGGTTCCTGATATGAGAAAGTATTTAATATAATCGTGGACGCATGTGAAGGGAGAGGACGAAAAAGGAAACGATAGAAGGACTATGTAGAAAATGTTAGACAGAAAAGGAGAGCTTAGATAAAACGGCTGATATGGACCTGTGGAAGAATATGACATATATATTGCGCCGTCCCCTAATAATGGGATAACGGCAAGTTTAGCCACTACTAATATGTATCTGTACGTAGTAAATTTAGTGTTATATCTCGTACTTCAAGTAGTGAGACATAGGACTCAGACTTTAGTATAACTCAGTTCTTGATGTTACCGACATTGAAATATTATTAATATTGACACATTCAAACTATATAGAAATCCACATTATAATTATGCTGATGACTTGAAATCCCTAGTGGAGGGTATCAATTTGTCACTCAAATAATGGGCGCCTGTCACGAGCATCACTCTTAATATAATTACAATGATTTTCCTTTTCATAATAATGTAACTTAGGTATAATTAAGGTTTCAAGTAAGATATGTAACATAATGCTAATTATATGTCTGTTGTATAATCTAATTATATGTCTCTCTAATTATGTGTCTTTTGAAGTAAGGTTATGAATCTAAATTTAATTTTGATTAAAAATACTAGCGAGGTTACAATGGCTGCGTTTTTAACAAATAATTATCATTTTAACATCTTATTGGTGAATCTATGGATATTTAATATTGAATGTGGGCATTTGTTTTCAGCTGCGAAAGTATGGACTCCCTTGACGTGTTTCTGTATGTAGACGGTCGACTTGAGAAAATGGCTTCCTTTTGTGGCAACGAAATACCGAAGCCTATAATGTCAAACGGACCAAAGCTATCGATCGAATTCCGTGGAATTTACTCATCGAGACACAGTAGGGGTTTTAAGATATCTTACGCCTTCGTTGAAGGTTAGTATTATTCACAACTATAAGGATAATTTAAGATTGCCTCAACTATAAACAATAGTTTCCTTTCAATAGAAATGATCCCTACTCATAAAATACTAAAACATTGAACTACCAATAAATTTTATTTATATATCGGTTTAAAAATATTATTCCACATTCCACACGCTTCTTAATAAACTAGATAATTGCGCATATTAAAATTAAAACTTTACAATACAACTTTTTAATTTTTGTTTTAGTTTTAATACATTATTATTAAGCTTGCAATTTTAAAGTGATTGAATGTTTTACACTTTAACAAAAAATACATTTATGCAGATAGTAAATGTAGCAGTGCATACTCCTGCAATTTACTGACAGGTTTAGTGGAATTTCTAAATATTAATACCTCGGTTTGAGGTAAGTTTTCAAATATTCATAGTCGTTATACTTATTTATAACACAGAGTAGAATATATTGAAATATATTATAGTAGGCAAAATGGTGTAAATTTAACATAATAGTTTAATTTAATAATTTATAAAGCAATAAAAATAACATACTGGCAGTTATAAGAGTATGCAACGGCATTTGAGTAGTACGAAAAGAAAACAAAAACCAATAGCGTAACGTGCGCGTTGCCGACCCTTAATAATCCTTTTTAATCCTTTTGTATCCTTTTGTATCGAATAGAAAAGTTTATATTAAACCGATCATGATAGAATGCGGCACGATTTTAAAATTTCGTTTTCGTCCTGCCGAAAAAAAATACCATTGCATTTCAATAAGAAATCTGTTCCGTACGATTCATAGATCAATCTTTCCGTTCAATTTACTTAAGCGGAAATGTAAATACGATTTATTGCTCCCTCCTACCTGTTTTATTAAAACCGGCTCCCGTTTTTGTTAGAGAAATCTTGGTTTTGCTGACTTCTCTTTGTTATGAATCGGAGTCCCTTCAAATTATTCATCAAATCAATATTTCATTACACCTCTAAGGTCTGAACTGTTACGATATTAATATTTAAAATTGTTTTAGCATTCACTTTGTTCAACATTACAGTAATTATATGGGATGGTATGGTATGTATATTTTAAACTGGTTACGGATTATTTTCAGACTACGGGATCACATCCGGGAGTCAGCTGTTAGAATTTCCATGTGCCTTTGTATTTAATAGCAGTAAGAGAGAGAAGGGTGTCGTGACTTCACCAAACTATCCCGGCCTCTATCCAAGGGATACAGAGTGTAATTATTTCTTTTATGGAAATGAAAATGAGAGAGTACATTTGCAGTTTACCTACTTCGATGTCGAAGGTGTAGTGCCGTAAGTATATGTGATCTATAAAGTACTATTTCTAGCAGCAACTTTCCGGTCTTATTTAGGACAATATCATACAAAGCAATCTGGAATATAATGTTGTTCAAATCCAAATTCTTCATCGATCGACAAGTAAACTCTTTATGAAAAGAGTTAATATCTCGAATTTATCTTATCCTCTCTTCGACAAAGAAAATAAATATAATTTATTCAGTGCTTGTATAATACAAGTTTAATCTACTGAATAGAGGCAATTTTTTAAAGGCTAACTCAATATGTTAACGATCATATTATTAAGTCCGATACACTCGTAGACTATGAAGATGAATTATTGATATGAAAAGTATCATGTTTCCTTTTTTATTGAAGGAAAATGTTCTAAATAATAGTGATAGACAAATAAAGATACATATATAATAGTAGCTCTGTACTTGTTAAACTACAATTGCAAATAATAGCGTACCTGCACGTAGTCCTTTAATCTAAACCTACGTGGTTCAACATTCTAGCTCTTAATATGTGTTCTGCTCTTTGTTCCTTTAGTTTAAATCTACCTTTAAACTGTAATTTCAACTATTAAGGGGGTCTTCCTATGTGACGGCCTGTTTTTTAGGGATATTTTAGGATTTTTTTTCTACGACCAGTAAATATTTAGAGCTTCAAGTTTTTTATCATTTATTAACACATATTTGGACAGTATAAATATAAAATTTCAGCTAAAAATATTCAGTCAAACTAGAGTTACAGCGCTCTGAACACCCCCGCCACGAAAAAAAGAGCTCCCAATTCCTCCACGATTCCGGCTGATCGGCTTATCTGAAAAAAAAAAAAAAACGGCGTTTTAATTTGTAGGCTTAAAAGCACGGAATGACCTATAATCAAATGAATATAAAAAAAATTGGATTTTTGATAGACATTTGAAATAAAAGTTGCAAATTAGGCGTTTTTTTTTTTGTTTTTTGCTATAAAAAAATCAAAGTTTTGAAAATTTTCGATTGATAATAGTTCATTCCATGCGTTTACATATATTGAGTGTGCCCTGTAAATTTCAAGTAATTCGGTCCAGCCGTTTCTGAGATACAATGGAGGAAAGTTTGAAACACAGTTTTGAGAAAAACGCGTTTAAAGTTTCAAGTCCGTTAAAAACTATTAAAATATCAACTTACTCTCAATCGGCGATGCCTGGTCCATAGAGTATTCCTTCCTCTTCCTCGTGGAACTCTTTTAAAGCAGATTGTTCAGCTCTTGAGTCAATTGGCTTGTTTAACGACATCACTTATTCGCTTTTCATCCCGTTTCTCAACATACGCTTGGGCTTCACGACCAACAGGGCATCCCATAATCGACATAACTTTTAAAATACCTTGAAAACCTTCATTAAAGATAATAACTTCTAAGTAGCTAGCAATTTCAACAACTTTGGGACCAGAATGAAGATGTTTAGGAGCGAAAGTCCAAATCAAAGAATTCAAAGATTCGTTATTGTTTTGTGTCTCTGCTCCTAAACAACGAATTAATAATTCGTCTTTCGATAAATCTTCGAAAACCGGTTTGATAGCTTCTTGGACTTGCGGAATTAGAGGTGGTTTATCGTGATGAAATTGGTCCAGTTCATTATTAGCTTCAGCCTTACGCCATTTACACCAACTGTCTTCGCCTTCTGGACAAAATTGATGCTGAGGGTTTTCATCAGAAGAACGTTTGTGATAGTACGTTGCCCAAACTTCCTTTCTCATATCTTCAAGCGAATCTGGATGGCGTCGAATTGCTAATCCGTAGAATTTTGTAATTTCTTGGATAACTTTATCAGTAAGTTTACCTGCTCCTTTTCTGTTTAAGTCTGTAGAAACGTGTCTAAACTTGTATAAACAAATATATTAATAAAAGGGAGGCCAGGTATAAAGCCGACGGTACACAATAGGCCCGGTCTCTAACTGCCAACTCACCGCTCCGAACCGCTCTTTCTTTTACCTGCTGTATCTTTAAAACGACTTCGAATTTTCTAAAATCGCTTTACTACCGTATTCTAGACATGTTAAGGGAGCAATTTATGAAAAAAAAAATCGATTTTTTCAACCCATCACATAGGAAGACCCCCTTAAAAGAGTATCTACTACGCTTGATAAATATTTAATTCTTCTAACTTTTTTAATAAACTATTCTTATTCTCAATGCAAAATATTACATTTAAATACAGTATATATGAATTGAAAAAAAAAATTGAGTTTATGATATAAACAACAAATTTGTTGCTTTCATTGTTTGTATAACATAAAGCGTAAAAGGTCGAACTGTCATATGTTCGGTTACAAATCACTAAACTATCCAGGCTTGTGTTACATTTTTTCTTCTTCGGCGTTATATCACGCAGCATCTTGTACATTTATCACTGTCAATGCGACGATGTATTTTCTTGTCATTACGTTATACGTATATATATGAATAGGGAAGGCAAAGTTATGGTAATCTTTTCTTTATAAGTACCTATAAACGAGATTTAGGAAACTAATACAAGGCTTGTAACATGCCTTGTTAAATATGCATAAAACGAGTGCGTGTAATGTAATGTGTGCATATACAAATTTTGTAATATTTAGAATTTCTATTATTAAGCCCAATATGGATGCTTACTCCCTGGTTATTGGTTTTTGTAACAAGTAAAATCGTAATACCTATCAGATATACTCGTTGTCTTAATAAATAATTGATGTTGTTTATGATAGATTTTCTACCTCCAGATGTGAAGCAGTATCAGCTAGCGACTATGTACAATTCTCCAGTCAAATGATAGATGCACAGAGTCACAGACACTGCGGTCAAGTAAAGGAATTACAAGTTACTTCAGAGAAGAATTTCCTCAGGATCACATTCAAGTCCAATGATAGATTGGACGGTACTGGCTTTAAAGCAGACTACTTGTTCCTTAGGGACTCCGAGATGTACAGCATCACTATGCCGGATACTGATAGCGGTATGAAAACAATTATTATGAAAATACAATATAATAATCTTAAAGAAATGTAAACTTAGTATATGAGGATTATTTACCTTTAAGATGAAATATTAACTATAAATTGCAGGAACTCAATAAATGCGACTGGCATAAACAGAAAATAAATTTAACTGAGAAAAATTAATTTATGACTGCTAAGTATAAATGATGATATGACGGAGATTATTTATAAAACTATTCTATAAAGAAACTTATTTTTTGAACTCCAAGTATCTAGGGAAAAATGCAATATTCTCATGTGGAATTTGGATAAGTTCATTTAGTAAAAAGATCTGCTCAAGTATCTAACTTTCAACTTTAATACATTAAATAACATGCCCAAAAAGATACACTACTACAAATCAAGTAAATTAAAACTCTATTTAATATTGTATTTAGATCAAAATGCATTACTAAGATTAATTAAGTCGACCAACTTTAATATAACACTTTCATCACAATTCTAAATTAAAATGGGTCAGACAAACGCATTCAATTCACTATTGATTTGATCCATTCACAAAAGCTTTAGAGAGTGGAAAGGTCTGTATTGGAGCTCTATTGCCGAAACGCAATTCATTCTTACCAAACGTAAGGACAGAAAACTAGTGAGATATTTGGATTTTTAGAATTGTTTGCGATGTATCTATTTTGATAATCTATGATTATATACCTAGCTATAAAGTTCATAAAACTATATATAAGGTTCAGAAGAGATGATTTTACTATATAGAAGTTAAGTTAAGCTACATTAAAGAATTGATAATAGACGAAAAAAATTTACAAAATTAAATCTTCTAAATGACTTTGGTTTAGGTATTTTAAATTATTGTCCCAACATAACTTATGTAATTTCCCATAACACAGAGTAATATGCTAATGGTGGAAACAGATTCAATGATAAATCCCCACAATTTCCCTATAGTATTACAATATTTGTAAATTGTAACTTCGCATCATTACAAAGCGCTACCCTTTCCGTATATTTGGTTTGAAACAAAACCACTTTGTGTTTTAGCATCCAGTTACTAATTGAAACGATTTAATTGTTACAGGTACGAGGTTGTGTACATCTATTCTGGTATTGTTTATGTGTCTATATGATGTAATAATGACGTTGAGATAGTGAAATACAGGATGTTAGTACATGTTGAAATAACTGGTGAAATAAATTATGACTGTTTCTATAAAAATATTTGTTTCATTTATACTTATTAGTAATAAACATACCAGAACTACAGATAATTAGACATAATATTACATACCAGAAGGTAACCATGGCTATTCAAAAAGGTAACGCAGTGGTTTTCTTGGATATACTGCCTAGAATTATAATGATAGTTTTTTCTTTCAATGAAATCAAAACAAATGTCATTATACATATATATATATATATATATATATAACTTAGATTTAGATAGCTTAAGAGTATAAATAAAAATCTATACTAGGTTAAAATAATGTTAATAAATATTCATATAATATTAATAATAATTCAATAACATATATATCCTCTAAAATAGGTGAAAATAAACAAATGACTTATTGTAAAGTCTTCCTCGATAATAATATATAAATATTCAAACTATTGCAAATTTACTTCAATTCGTTGATGTCAACATAATATACTTCGATTAATTTGATGGTATTGATAACGAGTTGTAAATTGGTTTCATTTCATTGGAGTTTGAAGCTGTAAAATCTTTGAGAATGTCTAAATAATAAAATAAATAATAAATTTCAATTGACAGATAAATGATAGATTTTATTTATTTATTTGTACGCTCAACTATTATTGCAGGCAAATGCCCAAAATATTATAATAGATTCTACAAAAATTACTTCACTTACGTGTTTTGTGCTATTCGTCATATTCGTTAAACGATAGTATCATACTATATCGTACATATCATGATTACCAGAGTCGGAACTGGTAGTATAAGCAATTGTAGTCTAGAGCTTCAGCTGGAGGCTCAAAAAATAAATTGATAGTGAAAATTTCAATAAAATATGAAAAGTGTTCTCTATAATAAACAGTTATTGTAATATAGCTTTTGTTTTTAATGCATGCTGTCAGTGAGAGCTATGAAATACTTCATAAGCAACAATCAAGAAAAGCGCTGATGTTTTTCAAACAGATGTTTAGTTTAATAAACATTATACGTGCATATATTACATCAATATATGTATAGATAAAATGTGAGAAACTGAGCGAACTGTTTTCGATGCTTTTTATAAACAGGGCCACTTGATGTAATAGAGGGTCACAAAGCTTAGTATTTTTTCATCAGACAGATACTCAACTTCCGGTAAAGTAAATAATAATTTTTAAAACGAGAAATAGACGAGGTTAGCATAGTAAAATCCCAGGAAGCATTGATATCCAAGTCACGTAGGGATCAAGATAGAATTTCAAACTTTGAGTTTTAGTACGTCGCAACGGAATCTCTCGCTGAATATTTGTACGCGTATTATAACAGTGTGAAAATAATATAATTCAATCAGCAATTTCTACTAATTGAATTAATATTATTAATTCAAGCTGGTTTATTTATTTAAATAACCCCAAGCGTTGTGGCCTAATGCTTTACTAATCCGATTTACAGTTACAGTTAAAATCTGACTGACACTAAAAAGTGCTTTGTGGTCCTACTTAAATTTATAACTGACTCCAGTGAAGAAATTAGTGAACAAATAATAATAAAAAAAAAGTCGATAACGATGGGCATAATGCCCTCACCCTCATTATAAAATGTTGGTATTTGAAGTTTTATATTCACCATATATCCACAAATAACAATCCCCTGGCCCCCAGAGGATTGTTAGTAATGTAAACTAATGACCCCATTGCTATATATTATGTTAGTTTAACGTTCATGCAGTTTCTCCTGGAAACCACATTGATAAATTCTTGGTAAATTTATCATGCTGGGCTAGCTGACCTGACCTCAAGCTCATCTTGTCATCCTCCACTGGAACCTTGTCAGCGTAATCGTTAGCACAGATAGCAGCCGCAATCCATGATTATCCATAAAAAATACTTCTGACTATGCCTTGTGTGGTAATAGTCGAGACGGAATATTATATTATTATTGTTAAACATAAAATTTCTTCTTTACGATTGTTAATATACTTTTGGTGATGTTGACCGCTGTCACAGGATTGGGTTAAACGGGCCTTACTCCGATTGTTATCTGCATTATTGGTGATTGGATTCTCTTTTTTTCTGTTTTGACTGTTGTTCTTATTTTGTTCTTTCATTCCAAACTTAAATTGTTCTTTATTTTAGCTGCAGTTCTTTCTTTATTTTAGTTGAAATTATTCTTAATATCTATATCTATTGAAATTATTTATCTTGACTATAATAACTATAGATAATTGAAAATACATAAGCATAAAAATTACATATTTAAATTGGAAAATAAAACGAACTATTTACATAGTGTAATTACGCTGTAGTGTCAATTATTACAGTAAACTAGATATTGTGTTTATTGTAACAATAGAGAAAATAACCCATGTCTAAGACAGGCTTAACTTTACCCAATTAATCTCGTTCAGAAAGAGCCCGCATTTACTTTAGGGTCACAATATTACGGCCTTTGAATGGCTAGAGCTTTGTGTGTATTGAGCAAGATCTCATAAAGCAGAATAGCTAACCATTTGTCGCCGGTTGCCAGTAACTGTGATTCGGAAGTCCTTTAGCATAGCACTGGCTAGAGTTATATTCTCAGTTTGAGCATCTGGAAATGTGGTTATTGAAGAATACTATGGGCTACTTGTAGTAATTCTCCTTGTATAATGTTTAAATATACTACTATCACAGTAAAAGTCGTAGTCGTTACAAAAAGAAAAACTGATTAACTATTATATTTATACAACTGGATTGGAAGACATGTTAATCATCACAACGCACAAAATATCCAGAAAATCGACTGTGATTTTAAATTAGAAGTAACTATGATACTAAAAATTTAAATATACATACGCGTATAAGAAAGTTGCCAGTGAGTAAGTACCATTACTAGTAAACATTTAATAAATGCTATAATTATATTAAGTATAAATTATTCTATTATGAGTTTCATGGCCTAGCGGTTTACCACCCCGATTTACCCGAGCTTAGGTTCGCCCCCCGCCACGTTGGATTTATTTATTTATTTATTTATTTTAAATAGTTCGACTATTTAAAATAAATGGATTTAAATATACTTAGCGGAATGTGAACATGTCATGTATTGCATTTACTACAATGTTGATAATTAATACTGCCTCTAAATCCAAGATAACAGTCCAGCCAACATATACCATATGTGTAGTATATGCTATATTTTTTTATAAATTTTATCATGTAACAATTATTCATCCATCGAAGTTTCGAAATTTCTACTTTTAAAGAGCGCGAAGGCCCCGGAGGATTCACTTTCTGAATTGTTTACAGACTTCCCTGATGTGGGTAGCGCTGATGACATATAAGCGGTTTAGTTAGGACAAACGCCTCAGCGATTTCGTGACCGCAAACTCCAGCAAACAAGAAAATGCTTTTGAGTCACCGGGGATTTGAAACTATTAAAATAATTCGATGGGTGTGAATACAATGGAATGGTTCTACTTTAATTAAGAGAAATATTTATAGCTCAGTTGGTATATAAAATACAGGGCATAGGAATGTCTAATCCTATTCTTAAGTGCATATATAGATTATCCCTAACTGTATAATTTTTGAAGATATCAGTGTACCAGTTTTTTACTGTATTCTAATCATTTACATGTCCTAGATATTATGCTATGTAATTTTTATTTATATTTTGTATGTCATTACCTAATCATATACCACAGATTATATAAATATTCATTATTGTACTTTTAAATACAGTAGTAAACTTAATTATATACAAAGTCAGTTTAGTATATAATAAGTTTACGTAAGTTGTATTATTATTAACGTTAACTTATTGCAGTACCATTCCTATTACACTTTATTGTAATCAGATTTGATAGAAACTGATCATTTTCTAAATCATAAGCAAACAGTCAAAGCAGAATTAATTACAAGTAATTTTTAGTAATAATATAACCTTTATAATGAAGTTCTATCAAGATTTTACAGCAAGAACAGTGAATTACAAACTTATTAAATTAATTTAGCAAATGAGTTTAAAGTCCCTGACTTAATTGAATTACACAATCTTGTATTGGAGGATGTGAATGTGATTATATACCTATACGTTTCTATGTATATTATATTATATATGAAAATATCGTGTCACAATGTTAGTTACCATACTCCTCCGAAACGGCTTGATCGGTTTTTATGAAATTTTATATGCATATTCAGTAGGTCTGAGAATCAGCTACTCTCTATTTTTCCTTCCTTCCTTCCCCTAAGTGATAAGAGTTATCTACCTCTAAAATATATTTTAAATTTTTTGAACAAAATATTTTTTTATAATGTGGCCACTGAAATGTACCTACAACACTAACTTCTCACGCTTCTATCACCAACCCCCATTTTTTAATAGTGATTTTAATTTATATGGCAATACAACGATTGCGGGGACAGCTAGTATATGTAGTATATATAAAAATATGTGTATTAATAACATTGATTTATACTGACTGCAATTCGTTCTCTACAAGGAGCACTTCTGAAATTTTCATTATATTTTACGAGAATACTTATCTCTGCGGTGGTTCGAGTAATATTCTTTTCCTCTGTTTATTTTTCATTTCGTCCTAAAGCGAAATCTAAATTATGAGGATCGTACTTGTCATTTTATTATATAACATACATTTATCATAAAGTCAGCAATCTGTTTTTTTTAATAAATTTCCAGAAGTTGAAGATGGATTAAAATAAGTATTATTTGTTCAGATATTACATTGTGGTTTTATACCGTATACATTAAGCATTATAACTTAATTATTAGTGATACTAGCAGCTTCATTTGTAAGCTATATTGCAATTTGGCTGAGATGTGGGAGTGTAATTACATGAGTAATAATATGAATGGTTCTGGACAAGTCACACAGCGCCATTTAATACCTTGGTATTATATGTCGCTGTGTGACGCATAACGCAACGCTTACGTTATGCGTACTAGACAATATATAGAAATATTTAAATAATTTATTTT